CCTATTTTTATTTTCTCAGTGATGGGGGGGGGGGGGCTTTCTGGCCCCCCCTTTTTTTAATATCTAATATTTTTACATGCTGCTAGTGAGAGAACCTGTTGTTAAAATATTTGAATCCCACCACTGCCTGTATGGTATGTTTGTTGTCTGTGTACTGATACCACTGTAAGTTATGTTTGTTATCTGTGTACAGACATCACTGTACGTTATGTTTGTTATCTGTGTAAAAATATCACTGTAAGATTTATTTGTTCTCTGTGTACAGATATATTTGTAAGTTATGTTTGTTGTCTGTGTACTGATATCACTGTAAGTTATGTTTGTTACCTGTGTACAGTTATCACTGTAAGTTATGTTTGTTATCTGTATATAGATATCACTAAGTTATGTTTCTTGTCTTTGTACAGATATCACTGTAAGTGTTAATTGATGTCTGTATACAGATATCACTGTAAGTGTTAATTGTTGTCTGTGTACAGATATCATTGCAAGTGTTATTTGTTCCCTGTGTACAAAAATCACTGTAAGTTGTTTTTTTGTCTGTGTACAGATTAACTAAGTTATGTTTGTTATCTGTGTACTGATATCACTGTAAGTTATGTTTGTCATCTATGTACAGATATCACTGTAAGTTATGTTGATTGTCCATGTTAAGATATCACTGTAAGTTATGTTGGTTGTCCGTGTTCAGATATCACTAAGTTATGTTTCTTGTCTTTGTACAGATATCACTGTAAGTGTTAATTGATGTCTGTGTACAGATATCACTGTAAGTGTTAATTGTTGTCTGTGTACAGATATCATTGCAAGTGTTATTTGTTCCCTGTGTACAGGAATCACTGTAAGTTGTTTTTTTGTCTGTGTACAGATTAACTAAGTTATGTTTGTTATCTGTGTACTGATATCACTGTAAGTTATGTTTATCATCTATGTACAGATATCACTGTAAGTTATGTTGATTGTCCGTGTTCAGATATCACTGTAAGTTATGTTGGTTGTCCGTGTTCAGATATCACTGTTAGTTATGTTGGTTGTCCGTGCTCAGATATCACTGAAAGAGTTTTGTTGTCTGTGTACAGATTAACTAAGTTATGCTTGTTATCTGTGTATAGCTATCACTGTAAGAATTGTTTGTGGTCTTTGTACAGATGTCACTGTAAGTTATATTTGTTCTCTGTGTACAGATATATTGTAAGTTGTTTTTGGTCTGTGTACAGATTAACTAAGTTATGTTTGTTATCTGTGTACAGATATCAGTAAGTTATGTTTGTTATCTGTGTATAGATATCACTGTAAGGTATGTTTGTTATCTTTGTACAGATATCACTGTAAGGTATGTTTATTTTCTGTGTAAAGATATCACTCAGTTATGTTTCTTACCCGTGTACAGATATTACTGTAAGTTATGTTTGTTCTCTTTGTACAGATATCACTAAGTTATGATTGTTATGTTATGTTATGTTTGCTGTATGTGTACAGATATCACTCATAGTTATGTTTGTTACCTGTGCACAGATATCACTGTAAGTTATGTTTGTTATATGTGTACAGATATCACCATAAGTTATGTTTGTCGTCTGTGTACAGATATAATTAAGTTATGATGTTATAAGTGTACAGATATAACTATAAGTTATTTTTGTTACATGTGTACAGATATTACTGTAAGTTATGTTTGTTCTCTTTGTACAGATATCACTCATAGTTATGTTTGTTACCTGTGCACAGATATCACTGTAAGTTATGTTTGTTATATGTGTACAGATATCACCATAAGTTATGTTTGTCGTCTGTGTACAGATATAATTAAGTTATGATGTTATATGTGTACAGATATAACTATAAGTTATTTTTGTTACCCATGTACAGATATTACTGTAAGTTATGTTTGTTCTCTTTGTACAGATATCACTAAGTTATGATTGTTATGTTATGTTTGCTGTATGTGTACAGATATCACTCATAGTTATGTTTGTTATCTGTGACAAGATATCACTAAGTTATGTTTTTTTATCTGTGTACATATATCACTGTAAGTTCTTTGTTATCTGTGTACTGATATCACTGTAAGTTCTTTGTTGTTTGTGTACTGATATCACTGTAAGTTATGTTTGTTCTCTTTGTACAGATATCATTAAGTTATGTTTCTTATCTGTGTACAGATATCAATAAGTTATGTTTGTTATATGTGTACAGATATCACTAAGATATGTTGGTTATCTGTGTATAATATCACTGTAAGGTATGTTTGTTATCTTTGTACAGATATCACTGTAAGTTATGTTTGTTATCTGTGTACGAATATCACTGTGGGTTATGTTTGTTGTCTGTGTACAGATATCACTCATAGTTATGTTAGTTATTTGTGTACAGATATTACTGTAAGTTATGTTAGTTATTTGTGTACAGATATCACCAAGTTATTTTTGTTGTCTGTGTACAGATATCACTGTAAGTTATGTTTGTTCTCTTTGTACAGATATCAATAAGTTATATTTGTAACCTGTGTACAGATATCACTAAGTTATGTTTGCTGTCTGTGTACAGATATCACTCAAAGTTATGTTTGTTACCTGTGTACAGATATCACAGTAAGTTATGTTTGTTATTTATGTACAGATATCACTGTAAGCTATTTTTGTTATCTGTGTACAGATGTCACCATAAGTTATGTTTGTTGTCTGTATACAGATATAACTAAGTTATGTTTATCTCTTATGTACAGATATCACTGTAAGTTATGTTGATTGTCCGTGTTCAGATATCACTGCAAGTTATGTTTGTTATCTGTGTACAGATATCACCATAAGTTATGTTTGTTGTCTGTGTACAGATATAACTAAGTTATGTTTGTTGTCTGTGTACAGATATAACTAAGTTATGTTTGTTATATGTGTACAGATATCACTAAGTTATGTTTGTTATCTGTGTATAGATATCACTGTAAGGTATGTTTGTTATCTTTGTACAGATATCACTGTAAGGTATGTTTATTTTCTGTTTAAAGATATCACTAAGTTATGTTTGTTGTCTGTGTACAGATATAACTAAGTTATGTTTATCATCTATGTACAGATATCACTGTAAGTTATGTTGATTGTCCATGTTCAGATATCACTGTAAGTTATGTTGGTTGCCCGTGTTTAGATATCACTGTAAGTTATGTTTGTTATCTGTGTACAGCTATCACTGTAAGTATTGTTTGTTGTCTTTGTACAGATATCACTTTAAGTTATATTTGTTCTCTGTGTACAGATGTCACTGAAAGTTGTTTGTTGTCTGTGTACAGCTATCACTGTAAGAATTGTTTGTGGTCTTTGTACAGATGTCACTGTAAGTTATATTTGTTCTCTGTGTACAGATATATTGTAAGTTGTTTGTTGTCTGTGTACAGATATCACTGTAAGGTATGTTTATTATCATTGTAAAGATATCACTAAGTTATGTTTTATATCTGTGTACAGATATCACTGTAAGTTATATTTGTTGTCATTGTACAGATATCACTAAATTATGTTTGTTATCTGTGTACAGATATCACTAACCTTCTAGTGGTTGATTCAATATACCTAGCACATTTAAATTTACATACAAGT